GTTGGCAGCTCAAGTCCTATATAGGAAAGGAAATGTCTACATGTAAACCAGAAAGGTAGAAGAAGGCAAGTGAATGGGTTAAGCCAGGAAGCCAGGGAAAAGGCAAGTGAATGGACTAGGCCTGGTAACGGCAGACTTTGAATGTGCTGGTGGTAGATCAGTTTTGTTTGGTTAAATAGTTGAATGAAGGTGAGTGAAGGTCAGGTTGCCTGAGTGGAAGAGTGGATCATGTGTGGTCCTCTCTAGGATAGTAGGGGGAGCTCTGATGGTCTAGCAGCAAGAAGCTGCACTGCAATCCTGAAGGCATGTGTTTCAAGGCCACCAGCTGCTCCTCTGGAGAAAGATGGGCAGTCTCCTCCCATGTTGTTTGGCTGAAAAATTGAAGCCTGAAAGTATAAAAGAAACAAAATAGTCTGTTCTGCTGTCAAGCAACATTTCTTACAGTTCTACTTTATCAACCTGTCCTGAAACAGTCGCAGGTTTGTAAGGTTTGGGTTAGAAGTGTGTCTCATGATAGGCAGTTTCTTGACATTCATTCTGGAATTATCAGTGTCAGAAATAGGTTGTTGTTTAGCCTTCTCATCAGCACATTTCTTAAACATTTTTCTTTGAACAAAGAATATGATACTTCTTATGAGGACAGATAAGCCTGCATTTCTGGAAATTCAGCTCTACTCCTTAAGCAGTTTCCACTGATAGGAACAAAGCAAATAATCTGCAGGAAGATCTCAAAGGTAAAAGAAAAGACCTTCTTGAGTTATATAGAAAAGAAGAAAATCGGTGAATTTTGAAAAGGGGGAAAACAACCCAACAAAACCCCAACAGAGTAGGGAGAAGCTGGAGGTAGAAAAAGTAGGACAGTAAATGAAATGTTGAGTACTTGCTCCCTGGCAAACACAGCATGAATAAATAAATACCTAAGTAAGTAATGTCAACCCGAGTCTCATAGGTAAAATTTTACCAATGAGAACACTGAGGACAAGAATAAGTGTGTTATTTAACAAAAGCATCACATACTTCACATTCAACACATTCTTCAAGGAGTAAATGTGACTTAAATACCTATATGTCCTCTGTCAAAACATGTCATATCCTTATGACTGGAATGTCTTTGTCTAATATCTGCTTGTTAACAGGGCCTATGTTATATCATTCATCTCTGAATCACCAGGTCTAATAAGGGAGTTTGTCCTCAACTGGTCATTATAAACTAAAAAACTCAGTGCTCTTGAGTCGATTTCTGAATCAGGAATCTGATTCAGACCCCCATTGGGTCTCTGAGGTTATTAATCACAGCAGGAGGTTGCTGTCTATCTTTCTTTTGTGGAGTTGCTAAGAATTAGAATGACCAAAAAGCCTTTAGATTAGCAATGTAACTCACTGTGGATTAGGCCACCAAAACACTCTACTGGTCATTATAAACAGTGAAAAGGGAATTTCTGTATATGGCATTTGAAAACTTTTCTGCCTTCTTCTTTGGTGCCTCATTTCGGAGTTAAAAAGGAAAAAAGAAAAGAACTGTAAAGGATATTGAAAATTATTTACCAACTTTTTTGCATAATTAACTTATTTTTAAATTTTTCCTTGCTCTTTCCTTGCATGTTAGTTTCTTGTACTTGCTTTGCACATTATATGCCTATGTGCTTTATATTGATGTATTACATAGGAAAATATGGCATACCTATTCAATCTGTCAGGTGAGCAAATCATTCGAGAAGTTGAACTCCATGAAAAATGTGGCCTCAGGATTGGAGGAAGACTTAACAACTGTGTCATGTAGATACTACCTTATTTGCTGAAAGTGAGGAGCGTTTTGAGCATTTGTTGAAGATCAAAGACTATAGCCTTCAGTATAGATTGCATCTCAACATAAAAAAAATCCACCCCAAAAATTCTTACTACTGGACCAATAGGCAACATCATGATAGATGGAGAAAGATTGAAACTATCATTACTTCATCTAATTTGGATCCACAATCAGCACACTTGGTATTAGCATTGAGGTGATTAGGAAGGAGACATATTGCGTTGGGATACTCTGCTGTCAGGGACCTCTCCAGATTACTTAGGAGCAATAATGTCAGTTTGAAGACTAAGGTGTTCCTGATTCAGACAATGGTCTTTTCAAGTCACTCACTTCCTATGCATCTGAAAATGGAAAATGAATGATAGAAGAAGAATCGATGGTCTTGAGGTGTGTCGGAGAAAGAGAAACATAATATGCCACAAATTGCCAAAAGAACAAATAGATATATCTTGAAGACAGTACAGTCAGAGTGCTCCACAAAGATGACAAAGCTTCTCCTCACATACTTTGAGCATGTTTTTAGGAGGGGTGGGCTGTTGGAGAGGAACATCATGTTTGCAAAGATGGAGGGTCGGCAAACAAGAGGAACACCCTCAACCAGATACTGACATAGTGACTGTTGCTTTGGGCTCTAATATGTCAGAGATGATGAGGATGGTACAAGATAGGACAAGGTTCAGATCTGTTATTCATAGGGTTGCTATGAGCCTTACTAGACTTGACAGCCCCTAACAACCACTGAGTAAATTGGTTTTCCAATTAGCTAGCCATACATATTTTGTGTTGTGTAATCTTCAGAATGCAACAGCATTCTTCCCATTTAGTCTCTGTGTTTACTGTTTCCATTTGACTTTTTTAACTTTCTTCCCTTTGTGTTTGGGCAAGATTGCCTCCCACCCCTTCTCCCATTTTTAGGGTTGGTTTTGTTTTTTTTTTTTTCATTTTTAATTTCTTACTGTTATTTGTGTGATATTTTACAGATCGAATTGGTTTTCTATTCAGTGATTCATATATACATTGTTTTATGGTATTGACTACTGTCCCCACCTTGTAGCAGACATTTTCCCTCCATGTTTCCTTCTTTCCTGCCCTCTGAACTTTATCCCTGAGTAAATGCTGCCCTTTTGATCTTATATGATTGTTTATTCTAAGGAGTAAGTGCCTGCCTAGTGTTATTGTTTAATTTATAGATCTGTTTAATCTAAATATTGAGTTAATGGGGATGGCTTCAGTTTCAAGGTTGAAGGGTGTCTTAACCATCTCATTTTTATAGAAGGAGGAATTGGGGACTGGATTTGGAATATTTGATCATGACGTACCCAAAAGACTTGACTGAACTGATGACTACATAGTAGTTCTATGTCTTTTATCTACTGCTTACAGTTTCATAGTTGTTTTTTTTAATAAGTGTGCATGTGAGTACACTTCGTTCTCTGAGTTTCTTTTATATGCTTCTTGTTATGTACCATTGAGTCAGAACTAACTCATAGCTGACCCTCCATAAGGTTTTTAGGGGCATTAAGTTACCCAGGAGGAGACTGGCTATTTTCTCCCATGGAGCAGTTGATAGATTTGAACTGTATACCTCAGTGACTAGGGTAATTGGGATGGGTGTATTGGAGACAGTGCAATTGGCACAGGACAGAGCAGAGTTTAGGGCTGTTGTACATAGGAGTCACTATGAGTTGCAAGTGACTTGCCGGCATATAACAACAACAAACCATCACCTCCGGGTTGTTGGTGCAACTCCATACCACTGAACCAGCAGAACTCTCTGTATGTTAGTGCTAAGGTAAAGTCATGATCTTTTCTCGTTCTCCCTCTTTGAAGGGATAAAGTATACAAATAAGCTTCCTAATAACCAGAAGAAAATAGCTTCCTCAGACTTTAGAGTTAACCTAGAAAACCGTTGCTGTAGTTCATGCTTTTACCAGTTGGATCCCTTTTTCTCATCTGAGCAGTCTGTTGTCCTTAGTTGAGAACAGGAGCCCTAGTAGTACAGTGATTAAGAACTTGGCTGCTAGATGAAAGGATGGTGGTTTGAACACGAAAGTTGTTCTGTGTGAGAAATACAAGCAGTCTGCAACCCTAAACATGTACAGCTTTGGAATCCCTCAAGGGACAGTTTGTGAGGTTGGTGTTAGTTGGAATTTAACGCTACAGCAATGGGATTTTGGTTTATAGGAGAGAATAAATTACTATTTTCAAGGCTAAATAAGCTATGTGAGATCTTGAAAATGATTTCTCATTGCTGTATTTTATTTAGTTTTGTTAAAAGTATATATTAATCTTAATTGTTTTCCTTAACCAAAAAAACAAACTACGTCTGCTTGATAGTATTAAATTAGGCTACAGTCTGCACTTTCATTTGCACTCAGATTACCAAGAATAGCTCATAGGCGATGATTTCCTGCAGGCTTGAGCGAAATGTGACAGGACAGTTATTTTTCCCTCACTCAGTTGGCTCTCCTATTTTCAGCCTAATATGAAAACATTACTTTGAATTAAAGCTTTTCATATGAGTGCATTTCATTGGATAATTTTAGTACTTTGGATAGATTTTTATTTTTTAGAAAATGTACCTGATGATTGAAACTTATCAGCCATAAATATTAAAGAGATCCAATAAAGAGAATCTGTAATTACATTTGGTTGGGTTCCCTACCCCCCGAGAAAGTGATTTTGTTTTTATACTGAGAAATCTTAATAGTGATATTCCTCTGGAGGAAAAACCAAATAAAATAATACTGTTTGTGCCACAGTGAACATAGAGGGTGGAAAGCAGAGGACAAAGCCAATTCACTTTATTAGTCCATTTGAATTTTCTCTTTTGGTTCATATGACAGGAAGTCGTTCTAAAATAAATATGATGTATACCTTATAGAATACTAGGAAAAGGATGTTGTTTTATTTAATGAATTATGGAAACATATTAAACTTAAAGTTGCAAGTTATTATAATGAATTAAAAGAATGTGTTATTAGAGAAATCTGCAATTTTCATGCCTGCCACAACTTTCTCTTGGGGAGCAACTGGTGTTTTTGAATGGGCAACCTCTTTGGCTAGCAGCTGAGTACTTAAAATACTGTGCCACCAGGACTCCTTTCCTCAAATTATTGCAGAAAGCAAAAGAATATGATGGTAACTTTATAATTTTATGCATCATCTTATTATTCTGTGTTTTTATTTTTAGGACCGGAGTAGGCCCTATGACACTTTTAACTTGCATTCGTTGGAGAACTCTTTAATGGATATGATAAGGACTGATCATGAGCCTCTGAAAGGTAAACACTATCCTCCCAGTGGCCCACCAATGAGTTTCGCTGATATAATGTGGAGGAATCATTTTGCAGGTTAGGAATATTCATATGTCCATTCCTTGCTCGGTATTTGTTGTTTGTTTGTTTGTTTTAAATCAGCTTTTTAATAATTGTGATTTTTTGTGTGTATTTATTTTTAGTTTTGCTTTTGTAAAGCATTGTGGAATGTGTTTAAAGTTGATTTTTTTCTCTTTTAACTTGGGTTCGGCTACCTAAGATAATCAGGGTTGATTGTTTTAATCAGTAATGTCTGTTAGAAGCATGTATTGGGTAGCTGAGGTCAAGTTTATAGCATGGAAACAGAAGCCAAACTCTGAGCTTTGTGCATTTGAAATCCTTAGCTGAGTCTGGGTATTTCACTTAAATTCAATTATACCGCAAGGAAATATGCGATTTAGTGACTAATCTCTAAAGACTACTTTAAACAACTTTATATGAGCAAATTCCATTCATAATCACTCTTTAAGTATTAAAAATATATATAGACCTAAGATTAGTCAGGAGCTTTTTGCATTATCTGAAGGTAAAACATGAAGAAGTATTTAACAATATTATTCTTTAGTAATGTTTTAGCCTTATAATATTTTGAATATTTTTTATTACTATAAAGAATAAAAAAATTGATAGAAGAAAACTTAGCTGCTGTTTTAATTTCACTTATTTATAGATGTAGAAACCTAAGCTTGTAAGTTTGCCTTATTTATTAGAGCTATTACTAGAAACTGATATATATCTAAACTCCCTCTTCTCTATACTTTATAGACAGCAAAACATACAGCAATTAGTTTAACGGTCATCTCAGATACAGTTTAGTGACCCTGATTACATACGTTAAGATATATAACCATTTCCTGAGTTGTTCTGTCTTGTTTATATAAATTCACTGCTCCCTAAGATTATTATTTAATATTTGAGTTGCTTTATCAATTTGATTCCAAGTAGACAGCTATTTTAAAAATACAATCTTTAAGTTATTTTTAGTAGTTTATCTAAACATTTGTTTGATTTGTAAGCAGATTTGCCTTCAGGGATAATTTTTGTTTAAAATTTTTCTCAAAATAATAGTTAAAGGAATTAATCTTCCTTACTTCACAAAGTCAAAAATCTATGAGAATTTGAAATCCTGCTGTGCATTTCCCCACTTTTGATTAGGATTCTTTGATTAAAATGTTCAGTAATGATGACTGGGCCCCATCCAGTTTTTTTCTAACGGCAGAGGAAATGGTTGTTCTGGAGACCATTAGCTTCACATTCCATACCTTACAAGGAAAAGACTTTAAAATGAATAAATGTTTTGGGATAAAGGTAGGACAGAAAGTTACAAAGTCATCAATATTAATGCTTTATTTTTAGAAATTCTGAAAAAGTCAGGATACCTGCTGATATAGTAGCCATAATTTCAGGCATTTCTTTTTTATAGATTTCAAAGCATTTTTTAAATATTAGTGTGTGTGTGTGTGTGTGTGTGTACCGTCAAATCGGATCTGACTGATATAGGAGGAGAGTGTCCCTCCTTTCCCGGCAGAGCATCTGGTGAATTTGAACCGTGCGCCTCTGGGATTGCAGTGCAGCTTCTTGCCACTAGGCCACCAGAGCTCCCCTAGATTTCAAAGCATTTTAAGAAACCCTCCTAGTACTGTGAATGAAGTGTTAAACTTCTAGCTACCCAGTGAATCCATGGGGGGATTGTTGTTGTTATGTGCCATCGAGTCTCTTGCTACTCATAGCGACCCTATGTACAACAGCCCTAAACTCTGCTCTGTCCTGTGCCAATAACACTGTCTCATATACACCCACCCCGATTACCCCAGTCACTGAGTCAATCCACCTCATAGAGGGCCTTCTCCTCCTGCACTGTCCCTCCACCCTACCAAGCATGATGTCCCTCTCCAAGGACCAGTCCCTCATTACAACATGGCCAAAGTATGTTAGACGGAGCCTCATCAGAATCCTTGCCTCCAAGGAGCCGCCGGGTTTAATTCTTTCCAGGATGAATTTGTTTTCCTAGCAGTCCATGGTACTCTCAATACTCTTCTCCAGCACCACAGCTCAAAGGCATCAGTTCTCCTTCTATGCTCCCTAGTCATTGTCCAACTCTCTGATGCATAACAAGTGATTACAAAGACCATGGCCTGTATCAGATGCACCTTAGTTTCCAGAGAGACACCATTGCTCTTCAGCTTTGGAAAGGCCCTAACAGCAGACTTTCCCGTCGCAATACATCTTTTAATTTCCTGGCTACTGGTGCCAACAGTGGCATGGAGGGATAGATGAGGCAATTTGCTTCTGAAAGGTTTAACACCTTGAAAACTTAGATTGCAGTTTTTCTGTCAGAATCAACTTGACAGCAGTGGGGTTGGTGGATTTTAGAACTTTTTAGCTGTCCGGTGTATTTTAAAGTATTGTAATGGGATTGATCTATGAAAATACCTACTCTTCTTGGGCTTAACTGTCTAAATATCTAAAAACTGTGAAGAGCTAGCCACAGGAATGCCCATTTTAAGTGGACTCCTGTGTCTTGGAGTTGTGAGAATTTCTCCTTTCTGGATCTCTCAAGTCTTTAATATAGGATGTGGCTGACTGGAAACGACTGACATTCGTTTTATCAAACTACACTAGAAATCTGTTTTATTATTTTCTTGTTACACTTAGGATTTTCTGCTGCCTTTTTTCAATGTCCAGGTAAAAGAAAGTCGTTAACAGGCTATAGAGGAAAGAATAGGTTTTGAGAAAAGCTACTTCAGAAGCAGAAAAAAAAATTATTTTTATAGTTACTTTTTCCATATTTTTTTCCCAGATAGACAACAAGGATGGATGATAATTTAAAGTCTCTTCCACTTGGAAGTAAAAGTGGTGGTGGTGTTGTTGTTAATGTTCTATCCAGTTAGAACTGACACATAGCTGACCCTACAGTAAGTGGCCTTTCAGAGACAATACATCAAACAAGAGGATATTGCCCATCTTTCTCCCACAGAGCCGGTGATGGATTCAAAGTACGTGCCTTTGGATTGGCAGCACAAATCTTTACTGCTAAACCACCGAGCTTCCTAGGAAGTTAGACTGTTTGTTATGTGCCATCAAGTAAGAATCAACTCATAGTTAACCTTCTTTGAGGGATAATGTTTGGAAAAACAAACAACAAAAAAGCAATGATATTCATAGACTGTTTTATGTTTTCGGTATCTTCTAAGGTTTCTTTTGTCTTCTTTCCTCCTTTGCTGTGAAAAGAGCTATAAAACTATAAGCTATCAGAATTCTATGGAGCTATAAGACTCCTACTTACTCTCACCTGTTCAGCCCCTATTCTTTTTACATACTTGTTTTATGTCATTCTTTGTTTTGGGGGAGAGGGGTAGCATGAAGGATCTTAAATGATAGTCTGTAAAATAATTGTACTAAGTTTTATGATTATTTTTTAAGCAGTGGCTATTGTGCCTGGTTGAGAAGAATAGCAAAAGTAGTAGTTGTTGTTTTCCATCAAGTGGAGCACAACTCATAGCGACCCCATGAACAAAAGGCCTGAAGCCCTTCCACAACCATCGCCACTTATCAAAGTTCGCAGAGTTTCCAGAGGCATGCTGTTTAGGAAGTGGATGCCATTCCTAAAGAGGATATTTCACTATGGGATAATGCATTACTTTACCAAACTTATAATGACCCTTTTTATTGCATGTCCAACTAACCATGTTCAGATTTTTACAGTCCACTTGCAAATATGAGGGTCCATCTATAAAAGCCTGCTGTATTGTACTTAAAATATATCCTAATAAGTTGGAAAGCACTTAATATATTTTCACAGTCTCAGCTTAGCTGTAACTTCCAATTCATCCCACCACCCACAGTGACTCCTCTGAATGGACTACTACCCCTGTGGTCAGTTTACATCAGCATCGTATTGGACAGTTAGTCTTGACTCACAGTGGGATTCTGCTCCAACTGTTCTGGCCCAATATTAAGTCAGTTCTGACATAAGCAGACTTTCTAATTTTTTTAATTATTGTTTTTATTATCAGGGACTATAAATTCTTTCTTTGTATTTGGCAGTTGGCATGAGTATGATAACATCAGCAAATTCCTTACCGCAACATTAGTATGATAAGATGTAAAAAAAGCAAAACAAAACAAAAATCTGACAATCTTGGTTGTGAGTTGAATGCATTGTAAATTAAGAACTCTTTGTTCTCTCGTTAGGATTTAAGCTTCCTCCTTTCCATTTACAGCGGGGAGACTTTTAGGTCTGATGTCACTATACGCTTGGTCTATTATTATTTATACTAGCATAGGTATGATGCTAGGATTTTTCTTTAGTTAATATATTACTTTAAAAATGGAGAAGAAACAAGAATGAAAAATTTAAAAAATGTTTTTAAAACATCCTATTGTTTTGTGCTATCAAGTTGGAACTTATAGCTGACCCTCTAGCTAGTTTTCAGAGGCTATAAATTACACAAGAGGAATTTGCTCATCTTTCTCTTATAGTATGTACTTTATTTTTCTATTTCCTATCTATAAATATTTTCCATAATTTTATTTGGTCTTTATTGTCCGTTTTAATCAGTAGGCCTTGATTTTGGACTCAATGAGATGAATTGGCACAGTCAATGCAGCAATGGGCTTGAGCATGACAGAAATAATGAAGATGGCAGAGGATACGGCACTGCTTCAATCTGTTGTTTGTAGGGTTACTGAACTGTAGTCAACTCGATGGCACCTAACAGCCATTTTAGACTCTTAGGTTGTTCCCAGTGCAACACATGTTTAGATTTCTTGACTGCTGTTATTATGAATGTTGTTTACGGATCCAAGTAAAAATAAATAATTCAGTATTTTCTCCTTCTGTCATGAAGTTACCTTTTGGTCCATTGGTGAGAATTTTTGCTTGCATAATGTCAGAGATGGAATCCATATTAAAAACTGTAATCTTTGACCTGCAACAAATGTTTCAAGCCCTCTTTACTTTCAGC